GATCTACATCTTGCTCCTTCTCTCTTCTTTAGTGAAATAAAGAGCAAATTAAGCTTTAGGTTCATTTATTCTAGGTTTGTTAAAACTGTTGTTCTACAGAAGCACAAAGTGTGTTGCACATACATACTGAAACTTTCTTAGAAGTTCAAACTTGGAGAATTTTATTTTTTAAATCTATGGAAAATGGGAGAACTGGTCCTTCTGAATACATTCTGAATGAATATATTCTGAATTAATGTAACTATTGTCCTAGAAAAGCATATTATAAGTGTGTTGCAAGGCACACTGGGTCCTAAAGCTCCTGAAAATCCTCGTGAAAATGTATGTGGGCTGGGACATGTGGACACGTTTGCAGGAGCGAGCTCAGCGAGGGCGGTTTTCCCGAATTCTGTGAACGTTTCCTTTATTCCATGACACTGATCATGGGTTGTTATCTTCGGGGGCCTGTGATTGGATTAGCTCCTTACTTGGGAAGACTTGAGTTATCTAACACTTTGTCCTGATCTTATTGACTAAATATAGGTGATCCGTTGCAGGCCATGATTTTATTTTTGTTTTTCTTAAATAAGCCCAGCTTTTGTGTAGATATTTAGAAAAGTAGTAAAAGCTGCAGAAAAATAAAAAAAATATTTTATTAACTGTTGAATAAAAGAAAATTCAGAATTGGAATGTAAAATTAATTAAAATTAATCTCTCTCCCAGTGACTCATAGGAAAAGACAGGTGCACAGAAATGTGGAGACATCGAAGTGGTCAAGTTCAGGTACCGGGTTTTAGACTCCAGACTGTGTCCTTTAGAAGGAGCACAGAAATTTATCAAAGTGTCTAACAGTATTCATACTTTGTAAGAAATTGTGGAGTAAATGCATGAACTATTCAGAAAGGTTTTTCCCGGGGCTTCTAAGGGTAGACTTTACCTATCTTTTAAATTCCAGTCTCCATAATCAGCAAAGTCTGCTGAGCTGCTGAAGTGCAATTGGGGGAAGTAAATCTAGACAGTAGCTTTGTCCTGTTACAGCCACGTTGTCAAATTGTAATGGCTGGAGGAAAGCATATTTTTCTTGGAAATGACCCTTTTCAAAGCAGTAGACGTAACATTAGCTCCCCAAGGTGTCCACCTCCTGCTACCTGCAACCTGTCAACGTGGCAGTCTGCGCTCCAGAAGAGTTTTGCAGCGGGGATCAAGTTAAGGATTTTGTGCTGAGGGTCAGAGTGACCAAGTCAGAGGAAGTCAGAGTAGTGTGGAGCCCGAGCCGAGGCCTGAGGGGAGCCTCCAGAAGACAGAAGAGGTAGGGAACCTGCAGCATGCATACGTTGCAAGTGTACAAGAGTGCCTGCTTTCCAAACTGGGAGATGATGAACAGCAGGTGCTGTTTTATGCCACAAGTTCATGGACATTTGTGGCAGCATCAATCGGAAACTAATAAAACCCCGAGGAAGAGATTCAGTCACTCGTGGACCTGGTATTGAGTGCCTACTGTGTGCCAGGCAGCAGTGCCCAGCCCACCTGGACCTGACCTTCCGGAGGGAGAGAGAACGTCCCTGTGTGCTATAGCGAGAATAGAATTGTTGAGCAGTGCGGTGGAGGCTTGTTCTGATGGGGTCATTGGCCTAAGGAGACCTTTTTTGAGGAGGTGACATTTAAGCTGGAGCTGGAATGACAAAGGGGAAGCTGCTGCCACGCTGAGCTCTGGAAGCAAAGGGAAAGGGGGCGGGCGGGAGGGAGCAAGGACGCAGATGTAGAGTGAGAGTGGCTCCTGCCGTGCTAGGATGCAGGAGTCCACTCTGCTGTGCCCTCACCACTCAGTGCTTAGGAGACAACTGGGGTTCACCACCATCATCGAGGTTCTTTCTGTACATTTCTCTTGCACAAGAAGGTTGCAGGTGCACGTGGGTGGCATCTTTTTTGATAGAAAGGGCATTTTGGCTGTGAACCTTGCCATCACACAATTCCTCTCCTTCCTCCTTGGAAGAATTATTCCGGGAGCTCTGCAGCCTGCATTCTGAGAGCAGAGCGACTTTGACTCTCAGATCCATTGAGTAATGTGTGACAGAGCCAAGAACTTTCCCGAATAGCCTTTGGAACCTAGAGAAGCCCCTGCTTGGAGCCAGCAGCATCAGGAGGACCAGGACCTGCTCCTTAGGGTACACAAAGCCCTCTTGAACCTCCCTTTGCCAAGAGCCTGGCTCGTGGGGAAGAGAGTGTTTCCGTTGCTGGCTTGTTGCTGATAAGCTATGAAGGCTGAAAATCACTTGTCCATTCTATGTCCTTTCATACAGCATACCTTGAAACGTTCATGGAAAATGGAATTAACAAAAAAGTTATTTTTGGTGCAAAAAATGTTGAAATCTGTGCCTATGAAGAATCTTCAACAAGTTCATGAAAGCAAGTATTCTGAAAAGACTTGGCATGAGTTTCAAATTTTCTCCTTTTTTAAAAGATTTATTTTATTTATTTGATAGAGTTATGAGAGAGAGAGAGGAGAAGCCTTCACCCACCGGTCTACTTCCCAAATGTCTGTAACTGCCAAAGCCAGGAGCCAGGAGCTTCTTCTGGGTTTCCCACATGAGTAGCAGGAGCTCAAGCACTTGGGCCATCCTCTGCTGCTTCTCGCAGGCACATTAGCAGGGAGCTGTATCAGAAGTGGAGCGGTCGGAACTAAAACCAGCACACCTATGGGATGCCAGCACTTCAGGCAGCAGCTTAACCTGCTACGTCACAATGCTGGTCCCTCATAATTTCTTTTACTCCAAAATAAGCTTATCTTTTAATTCCATTTTCCCACCAATGTTTTGAATCACCCTTGCAATGTAATGTTAGTCGGTATGGCTTTTAGAGACTGTTTATTCCCATCCCCTCCTTTTACCAGTGGGAAAGCTGCCCAGCAAGGGAACATCCCCAGAGTGTGCCGGAAGCTTTCCCTGCCTGGCACCCTGAGATCCAGGAGGATCATGGCCCCAGGAAATGCATTGTTTTTGTCTTCTCTCACCTCCTCATAAAAATGTCCCAGTTCTGTCTGGCTATCCCTGCTTATGAGTGGCTTATATGTAAAGGTGAGGACATACTGAGTGCCTTGATTCTCAGTTAGGTACTGACTTTTTAAACCCCCAGGTAGAATACCTCTCAGAATTGGAAGCGTAATGACCCTCAGGGGCCCTTTCCCAGTCTGCTAGACAGTTTAGCCTCCTGGAAGTCTACAGAGGCGTGCGTATGGAAGTACAGGCGAAGTCTGTGTGACGTTACAATTGTACATGAAGTGGTGGGATCTTCTGGTTTTTGTTTCTCTAATGAACAGAATAAGGTAGTTACACTTAGTAATACCCATTCACCCAAAGGAAGGGGGGTTGTTAAATCATTGTGTTTTTTGATGAATGGCTTGTACACTGAAAAATAAATTGGACAAACTGGCATAGAGCTCAGTGAACATGAAATCAGCTATTAGAAGAAAGCTTGTGAACAAATTCCGAGGCAGATATGCATCTTTTGATTAATGCCCTATCAATCATCCACACAGCTACCTTCGCTAAGTCTTGCTGTAATCATTCATGGTTGCTTTCGGAAACACTGGCAGAAACTATAGTGCTGCCGAAACGGAATATTATTACTGATTTCTCCCTAACTTACTGTGAACAATGACTGTTTTCACCGTGTCTCTGCTTCCCTTTATTACAGAAATACAATACAGAATGAAAGGAGAGTTCCTCAAAGCCTAGGGAAATTCTCCTAGGGTATTCTTAATGATATTCAGTCTTAAATGGGCAGGCTATTGTAACGTAAGGTTCTCCTCTAGGAATAATGGTCATGTAATCCCATTGAAGCTGTCCTTTATGGATTGCAGTCACACAGGCAAAGTGGAGAGTCACATTAATGAGCAGAGTGTATCTTTGGAATTATTACTTGAAGTTGTTGGAGCGGTTTGAATTTTGTTATTGTAATTATTTTATTCTCAATTAATATGCTTAACAGCAACAGTAATTAACCCACCAGATTGGAAATTTCTGTGACTTCCACCTTTGACATTACAAGAAACTTCGATTCTTTCTGCGTATTACACAGTATATTATATATATATATAATTTTTACAAGAATTTTCCTTGAATGCAATTCTTAGTTTTTCATGCATTTTTATGTCATTGGTAAAATCCTCAAGAGTACCTCATTCTCTTAAGAAAATTCAGTCCCTAAACTATGCTGGCAACAGAGAATGGCTTGGTACTGCCTGCTAGTCAAGAGATCTTTAGGTAATACCTTGGCTTCCTCAGAACGTCCTGCAGCCCGGGAACTACCATGGCATAATAAAGTGGTGACAGGCATTAGCATGCATAATGGGCTTTAATAGACATTTAATGCTGTTTAGCTAGAGAGGGAGCTGTGCTCTCCCATTGGGATATTCCTCCATCGAAACCCATTGATCACCGATTTCAGTGGGAGAGGTTAATCCATCAGCTTCTGTAACCAGACGGCACTGATGGAAATTCTTTAGGTGGCATTCTGGATGAACCAAGCTTTCCATCTTTACAAACAAATGAGTGATATGACAAGCATGGTGTTCAAAACACATTTAACCAATTGATTTTCTTTCCTCTTGTAATAAGATCTGGAGACATATGAAAGCACGCTGTGTGAGCTAAGATTAAAGGAATTGCTCCATGCACAGGAACGTATGGAACTAAGAGCCCATAAAAGTCCTATAAAGCATGTAGTCACCCATTCTCTTTTTTATATAAAGTTTGTTATTGCAATAAATAGTTATTATTGAGCTGATGCCTTTTTTTTTCTGTTTTGCTGAATCTTATTTCAAGCCTGTGTGTATGTGTGAATGCACATGTGTGTCTCCCCTCAGTCATCTTTCTCTTAAAAATTTTCAAAATGTTCGACAATAATCATTCCTACCTTCTTGTTTAAAACAGCCTCGGTATGATTTGGGATGGCAAACTGCAGATGCCATGTACCTGTGACAATCTGAGTGATGGTTGTCTGTTTTTATCTCCCACCTGCAGCCCTGCCTTGAGCTTCACCTACCCTTCTGCACCTGTCTCTCTCCATATGCATCAACAGATCTTAAGCCGACAGCAAAGCCTAGGCTCGGCCTTTGGACACAGCCCTCCACTCATCCATCCAGCCCCAACTTTTCCAACACAGAGGCCTATTCCAGGGATCCCTACCGTTCTGAACCCCATCCAGGTCAGCTCCGGCCCTTCCGAGTCCTCACAGGTGAGAGACAACTCACTGAGCAGGTCTGTGTTGGTCAGGGGAGTCGGGCCATTGCCACTGGGTCCATGGTAGTGTTCACATGACTTTCCACTGGCATCCTGTCTTCCTAAGCCTGAGGTCCCTTCTTCAGTTTTGATGACAGTGTTGTCTGTCTACTCCTCATTGAACAATAGCTTCTATCACCAGAGATGTTTTCTCATGGGTGGGAAAAGCAAGCTTCTTGGTAAGGCCTCCCCTTGAGCTAGTGCCATGTGTAAACCACATCTAATACAAACAGAATATACTAATGCATTATTCTCATTTGGTCACTGTCTCCTGCACACTGCACATCTTTGTCTTTTTTAAATACATTGTTTAAACTTATAGCACCAGGGGACCCCAGCTCTATTACTCCAGCTTTTTAAAAAGCCATGGGGAGTTTATGGTCATGAGTTAATAATGAAGGGCTGCAGGAGTGCAGTGGAGGATGGCCCAAGTCCTTGGGCCCTGCACCGGTATGGGAGACCAGGAGAAGCACCTGGCTCCTGGCTTCGATCAGCATGGTGCGCCAGCTGCAGCGTGCTGGCCAGGGTGGCCACTGGAAGGTGAACCAATGGAAAAGGAAGACCTTTCTCTCTCTCACTGTCCACTCTGCCTGTCAAAAAAATTTTTAAAAAATAATGAAGAGCTGCCCTCATGGGTATATTGTCCAGCCTTGAACATGTTATCTAAACTCTTCTACCATGGGGTTGAATGTAATCAGAGTTCATTGCTCTATTGCCAACTATGCCTGCTTGTCTTGAGTTGCAGGCTTTAAATATGGTCACACTCATTGATCAAAATTTACTTTTTTGTGTTTCTGGGTCTGCAAATGTGACCAGCAGAACAAGCCCACGAGTGAGTCTGCAGTGAGCAGTACTGGCGACCCCATGCACAACAAGAGATCCAAGATCAAACCTGACGAAGACCTCCCCAGCCCAGGGGCTCGAGGGCAGCAGGTAGGACACCCAGACTCTGCCGGCCAACTTCTGCCCCTCCCCAAACTGGTGTCTTTGGGCCTTCCCCCTCCCTCCCCAGACTTGGTGCCTTTTCACAGCATTTCCTTGTCTACTGCATTGTTGGTCTTGGCCACAGTCAAAGTGTTTGGCAAGAGGCCAATCATAGAGTGACTACATTTGTTTCTCTAGCTCGGAAGCAGACATGAGCAGTGCAGGCAGCTGTGTGAGATACACATTCTTCATAGGTGAGGCAGCGTAGGAGTTCAGGCTGCAACAGTTCATGCATAAGTGGTTGGATTCATTTTTTGCTGATCACAGATTTAACCAGGTTTCACTTCTTAGCCCTCTTCTTTGGTTTGGATTCCTGAGCTCCTGGTCCCAAGCTGGAGCTGGGGTAGAGCTAGTGATGTCCTCTCAACAAACCATATTCTTGCTTTTTCTTACTTTGCTGTTTCCCGCCTGCCAGGAGAGCTTGGAGGGATCAAGGCACAACTATCCTGAGTCTATTAGATTCTTCTCCTCTGCCCAAAATCCCACCAGGAGAAGTTTAGATTTTCCAGTCTAGGCTCTGTTTGAAGTCTCTTAAATCCTCTACAAATGTGCAGTTATGCCCTCATTACCATCTCGTAGAATTCTCCCTCCTGACACAGAAGGGAGACTCTATGAGTGTTCACTTCTTCAAATAAGGACTGGACCGGGATTAGATGTCCGTGGAATCTGGACTATCCCATAATTAGGCTGTTTTGGCTCAAATTTCCTTTCCAGTTAGAGCTCTGAAGATGGGATAAATTGGTGTCCTGAGTCCCAACGTCCATCATTCCTCTTGAGTTGGACTAGATAAGTGCCTTGCTGGTTACAGCTCAGTGCCTGGATATGGTTTTATCACCTAGCCCCAGATTAGGACCTGAATCTGCAGAATCTGGACCTAGTGACCTCCAGAATTCTGGAAATGCATTGTATTTGCGTTGCTGTGAAGCTGTCATAGAACATTATAGAGGACTCTGTAACTTCAGGTTCTGTGGTTCCCAGGCATTGGGCAGAGAGTGTATCCTTGGATAGCCGAGGTTGGACCAAGCGGGCATTATCCCTAAAAAGTCCATAATGTGCTTTTTTACAGCTTCTAAACAGCAGGGAAAATAGAATTAGAAGAATTCATAAAACATAACCCTGGATTACAAAACATAAGAATACAGGCCGGCATTGTGGTACAGCAGATTAAGCCATACTAGACTGCTACTCTGAGTCCTGGCTACTCTGCTTCCAATTCAGCTTCCTGCTAATGCACCTGGGAAAGTACTAGATGATGGCCCAGGTGCTTAGGCCCCTACCACCTATGTGGGAGACCAGGAGGGAGTTCCTGCTTCCTGGCTTCAGCCTGGCCCACACATGCCTATTGTGACCACTTGGGGAGTAAATTAGAGGATGGAAGGTTCTCTCTCTGTCTCTCCCTCTTTTCTTTATTTTCAGATAAATAAAGCTTTTAAAAAAATCCAAGAATAAATTAATATACCAAAAGAACTAAAATAATGAAATAAATAAAAGATCCATCTTTTACGTAAAGATTCCTTTACCTAATTCAGTTGCTTCTCTTTTGGGTTCCATTTGGTGTTTATTTGCTTTTTGTGTTTTTAGGTGAATTCTGTATTTATTTCCAGGGTAGCAAAAATTGGCCACTCTGTGTCACCACCCTGATTTGGGCTGTTGTTTGGCATCACAAATTAAGAATGTCAGAAAGTATATTTGGAAAATCAAAAAAAGTGCACAAAAATGATTCCGTATAGTTGCCTTCTTCAGTTCACAGAGCCCGGCTGATGGACTTGGGCTCTGTTTTATTTTTCACTGAAAAACTGCCTTGGGAGGAAGGCAGATGAAGTTGGGCTTTTCTTTCCTCCCATGGAGTCTGATTTCTTTTCCCCTGTCTGCTCCCTTCCCACCATCCCTGGCCTCTCAGGAACAGCCGGAAGGAACAACCCTGGTCAAGGAGGAAGGGGACAAAGATGAAAGCAAACAGGAGCCTGAAGTCATCTATGAGACGAACTGCCACTGGGAGGGCTGCGCGAGGGAGTTCGACACCCAGGAGCAGCTCGTGCACGTGAGTGAACGGTGCCCAGGGTCTGGGCTTTACAACCAGGCGGCCTTTTCCACTGAGGTCAGCATCTCCTGACCCTGCGCTGAGTTAAGTTTCTCAGCTAGCCGCGTTGCAAGCTGGAGAGGGCTTTATGACTTTCTGAGAAGAAAGAAAACTCGGAGCACGGTGCTTGACCTGTGCAGTCAGCTAAAGCTTAGTGTAAAATTCAATAAAGTCTTCAATAGAGAGTGTAATGACTCTGATCCTGTAAGCCAGAAAACACTATTTTGAGTTAGCGACTTTGATGGTTATTGAGTAATAGTAAGCTGGACATGAATTATTATTAACCTTTTAGCCACGTTTGATTCCCCTTCCAGGACCCAGCAACAATAGAAAAAGAATTGTTGAGGTGAGGGATTCCATTTTCTCCTCCCAACCCCTCCAATCCTAGGGAAATTCTCTTAGCCTATGCAACAGTTAGTGCTCTTGGAATATCAGTAGATGCTTGGCGTAAATCATCATTGCAGTTCTAGACTTGAGAGCAGCCTTGTGGGGTGCAGAGTTTCATCGAAAAGTTGCATGCATTTTCGATGTTGTTTTTTTGATGTACGCTTTTGAAAACTGCAACATAATCAGGGACCACACCTTCTCCCAAACCAGGTTCTGTTGCGTGTTGTTTCCGATCCTGGAGTGCACTCACAGTCTCACCCCACCCCATACCTGATCAGCAGAGCTTCCCTTGCCCGTGCCTCATAGTACTTGGTCTTTTCCTGAAGGCCTTTGAAGTCTCCCTGGAAAATGAGAGCAGGAGCAACAGATATGGAAGGGCGAGCGTGTAGATCACCACACATAACAAACTCACGCTCCTACGGCTTCTGTACAGAAAGACCGGCTCCCGTTAAGAACTTAAGAGTGTTGCATTTTCTTAAGCTTTTAATGTGTTGGAAAACCTGACACAGCAGGGTTTGTTGTGATTTCCTCTGTCTTATACACACACACACACACACACACACAGTATAGTAACTTGGTAGTTGTAGATGCCTCGTGTTTCTTGAAAACCTCTTCCACTTAAACACGGAAGTTACAAGATCACTCGCATATGCTTCATGCACCACCCAAGCTTTTGAAGTATGTCTTCTGCAGCTTGGCCCATCTTATGTCATCTGAGGGTACTTCGGAAAGTTCACAGAAAAATGGATTTTAAAATGTTTATTTTAGAGCCGGCGCCGTGGCTCAATAGGCTAATCCTCCACCTTGCGGCGCCGGCACACCGGGTTCTAGTCCCGGTCGGGGCGCCGGATTCTGTCCCGGTTGCCCCTCTTCCAGGCCAGCTCTCTGCTATGGCCAGGGAGTGCAGTGGAGGATGGCCCAGGTGCTTGGGCCCTGCACCCCATGGGAGACCAGGAAAAGCACCTGGCTCCTGGCTCCTGCCATCGGATCAGCGCGGTGCGCCGGCTGCAGCGGCGGCCATTGGAGGGTGAACCAACGGCAAAGGAAGACCTTTCTCTCTCTGTCTCTCTCTCTCACTGTCCACTCTGCCTGCCAAAAATAAAATAAAAAAAAAAATGTTTATTTTATAAAGAGGTACAAAACAATCTTGAAATCCATGCATAGATTTTTATAATACACATTTTCCACGAATTTTTTGAAGACCCTTCTTATTCCCTACTCATTGTGGTTACATGGTGGTGTTGAATGTGTAGCTTTCCAGGTCTTGAGATCCGTTCTTTACTAAATATTTTGAGGATTTAACGTGACATCAGCAGGGTTTCCCCACACCATTATTTCCTTTTCAGTCACGTTTCTTTATATAACTGTATAAGAAAATTGGTAGATTTCTGAGTACAAAAATAGAAAATCAAATGTTTTTAATTAAGGTATATTTCCAGATTTTTCCATGACTGAATTTGATTATTTTTCTTTAATTTGATACAGTGTTATTTTTAAAGCAAGTCTGGTTTTGGCCCTTTATTCCTGCTAACTATTTTAATAGGAACCACAAAGACACTTTAACACCAAAGGGAAAAAAAGGTTAGAATGGTTTTTTTTGTTTTTTTTTTTTTTTTTGACAGGCAGAGTGGACAGTGAGAGAGAGAGACAGAGAGAAAGGTCTTCCTTTGCCGTTGGTTCACCCTCCAATGGCCGCCGCGGCCGGCGTGCTGCGGCCAGCGCACCGCGCTGATCCGATGGCAGGAGCCAGGAGCCAGGTACTTTTCCTGGTCTCCCATGGGGTGCAGGGCCCAAGCACCTGGGCCATCCTCCACTGCACTCCCGGGCCACAGCAGAGGGCTGGCCTGGAAGAGGGGCAACCGGGACAGAATCCGGTGCCCCGACCGGGACTAGAACCCGGTGTGCCGGCGCCGCTAGGCGGAGGATTAGCCTAGTGAGCCGCGGCGCCGGCAGAATGTTTTTAATATGGAGAGGTATTCCCAAAGAGTAGAGTATGCCATGAATATCCTCGTGATGGAATGAGTGACCAACATAAATAAGAGAACTGTTTGTGTAAAAGCTGCCTATATAGAAAAGGTGCTACCAGGGCTGATGCCTTTGGAAACATCCTGCTGAGGGGTGATGGGGTCTCCTGATGCCCTTTTGGAGGGGAACCCATTGCAGGTCCAAGGAGTGTTACTGCAATACTGGGTCTGTTAGGAAACAAGGAAGAGAATAGGAGTCTATTCTACATTCTCCTAAGAGGCTGGGTTTGGTGTAACCTGTTTTAGAGTGTAGAAGTAACTGAACCCTTTCATTGCCTAAATAATATCACAGGTATACTTAATATCAATGGTTGGTGATACTTTCATAGAGAAATCTGTTTTTAGTTTTAAGGACAGGCTACCGAAGCTACCAACAATATACCTGCCATGTTACCCGTTTCATCAGAACTATCTTTAGAAAACCTGAATGCACACATATAAAACAGAATTTTTTTTATTTCAAGTATATTGGAAAAAATTTGTATCATAGTATGAAGAAAATCCAGTGTGTTTCCTACATTATACTAATTTTAGGCTGAGATGAATTATATGGCTAAGTAAACTTAATTTAAATGAGTTAACATTACAATTTAGGACAGCATAAATAAAGCTACTAGTTTATATCACTTATTTTCCACCATTTTCCTTGTTGTCTGAAGTGTAGAAATTCCAAATGTGTGCGTTTCAGTGGATTTTTACATTGCATGACACACACGTACCCCCAAGCTCGTGAGCGTATCTGGTAGCATTAGCGGTGGCCTGGCAGAGAATAGGCGCCTTATATTTTGTTGATTGAAGAAATAGCTACTTCAAGTCCACCTAATTACTTCAGTGGCAGATGGAATAAATACCAGTTGCAAAATCCACTATTTTAGGGACACAGGGAAGAATTAACTGTTTCCATTCCTGTGACTTTCCTTGGTGAGGGGACATTTTGTGAATTAGTTGAATTTCCGTGCTACATCCAACCAAGAGGCAAGGTGTTAAGCCATTCTGATGCTCTGCCTTATTTATAGCCATGACCCATTCTTCTTCCCCCTCTTACAGTTAATAGAAAGATTCATGATTCTTCATGGTTGTCTATCTAGTGTCTGACAGTCCCGACTGCCTGCTAAAGCAAGTCACTATCTATAATTGATATCCTTCCGTGGAATAGGGTGCTGGCTGCAATTGAAGGGCTTTGCTGAAAGCTCTTAAATCCTGACAAGTTCTCCCCTTGTTCTGGTTCAGTCGCTGAGCTGCACGGTTGGAATTCCAGAGTTATTTGAACTTGGTGCAAAAGGGAGACATGTGTTTCACATTAGCAAATCACAAAGTTGAAGAAGAGAATTAGGAACTGGGCTGACTTTGCCCGCCAGGTAGTCTCATTTCCAGTGTAATGCACTCCATGCACTCTTGAAAAGATTACCTCGTCCGTTACTGTCCGAACAGATGGGCTAAATGTTGCCTTCCCTTCTCTTCTTTCTTTTAAGCCTCTCCCTTTCTCCAATTGTGTTTCTCTTCTAGCTTTGCTGCTGGGTTCCTTATCACTAGCATGGTTAATTAAGTTATCTTTCCAGCAAGATAATTATAATTGTGCTTAGTTACTCTCAAGCTAATACTGAATTTGCCATAAATTTATTTCTATGACCAGAAGCTAAAAAGATAGATGGATATTTTTGTTAACTGTTTTTGCTGTACTTTATTGCTTTGTTGGTGTCAGTTAAAATAGAAGGGAACCAGAAAACAAAAATAGTATGTTGTACAAAAACTAATTTGAGTCCAGTTTGGGTAACACTGAATTATGGATTTGTCGAACTGCGGGTATTTTCTCTTCCCTTGATATCTGAATGACACATATTCTAATATCTCAAAATAAGTTGATAGTCCATGTGTTTTCTCCAGTTTTGAATTAACCTGACCCTCTTTTCATTGTTGTACGTGAATCTTAAATCCAAATATGCTTGTGGAAATTGGAGAATATCAAGTGTTGCTTGGTTTTGTTTTGGCTTTGCTGTGACACTGGTTTAGCTTGTGTTATTATGTAAAGCAGCTCAGCTCGGCTCCTCAGCTGGGTGAGCTGTGCCTCTAGTCCTTGCTGAGATCAGTTTCCATCTTGTTTCGATTTTGTCCTGGAAGTAAGTTGCACCTTGCGCTCTGCTAGTTGAGGTGTCTGAAACACTCCTAGCGTCCAGTGCAGGTTTGGCTCAGGGTCTCTGAAACTTTTCCTTCACGTGTCAGCTGTGAGTGGCATTTTATAAACTACCCATGTTTTGAGAAGTTTTTTAAAAAGAAGATAAAAGAGTAACAAGAATAATATGGGTCTCAGTGTAGAGCGCACTACTCAGTGGCTAGTTTATGTTAGAGGACATCCCCGCTGAGATGCAAAAATTAAAAAAAGTCTAGTCTGATCATCCTACGTCATGCTCATCTGCTTGCTGTGCACGTATCCCTACAACTCCTTTCCCTGGAGTTCGACAACTTAGCTGTCTATTTTTGTTTAACAAATAGTACATTTATTTCCCCAAGGGTCTTCAAAAAATCAAACTTTTGTTTGTTTGTTTTTAATTCCTCAGCTCAATTCCCTGCAGAGGGCCCTGGCAGTTCCCCTGGGGAGGCCCCTGCAGAGAACATGAGGTCTATTTGTGTTAGCACCCAGCTGAAAACTGGGTGGCATTTAAGTTGCTGCAGTTATCCATTTGTGTCTTTTAAGCCTGGTGTCAAAAACTCCCCTTTTTGTGGAATGATTTACCACCTACTTGGATTTTAAATGCTTTCATACTCTGCAAATTTTGATCTCTAAAAGCAAGCTGAAGTTTCCTTTATCAAAAGAATACAGTTGTAATCACCTTTACTGCCATTTGGAGACAAATTCTGTGTCTGTATGAAAATGAAGGGTTTTCTTTTTTAATACAGAGATTTAGATATAAAGCAAGCATATCTAATTTGTGAAGAATTGATGTCTCCGTAGAAGCACGAAAAAGAGTTGGGATGTGAAGACATCATTTTCATATTAATGCCATGATCCCAAATTTGCATTTTAAATGTTTTCCATCTAATTTTGATCCCTTTGCTAAAGTTGTATTGTATATCCTTACCTAAGAGAAAATTGAGTTTAAGATGTGATAGGGGGTCTCAGATATGAGGCAGAAATTAGTTTTGTGTGCACATAAAACCTAAAACAAATGAGTAGAGATTTTGATCATATTTTCCCCTACATGGAGTTGCTAGCTAATTTAGTTACTCTAATTATTTGGAAACGTGGCATGTAAAATACAGACGAAGAACTGCAAACTTCAAAGCCATCTTTTGACAATTTTGCCTTAAGGGTTACGTTCTTTGTAAAGTTGCTGACTAAATTGCACCTGCAGAAATTATTCCCATAAAGAGACACTCGGGAGATTATATGGGGTTGGGGGTGTGTGTGAGGGTGCATGAGGGCTGTGTGGTCCACCAGCTACAGCACCCCCAGGCCCAGCTGGAATTCTGAGTGGCAGCCCCATCTCTGCCCTGACTCTCAGGATGACCTCCTTGGAACCATTTGACCCTTTGGAACGTTATTTTCTCACTTATCATACTGTGAAACAGCCGTGAAAATGAACGCTGTCCCTGACGTCCAAGGCCAAGCCGAGATCACATGCAGTAGGCCTAATGAGAAACAGACAGAGGGTCTGAACAAGGTCACTCTGTCTCTCTTGTTTTATGAGTTTGTTGTTTGCAAGGTGGAGTGGGGGAGGAGAAGAGAGTGGTTCTGTTGGTTTTTGTGACTTCCATGTGTTAGCTCTAAGGATTATTTTATATTAATTGTTGCTAAATTGATACTTACACTTGTCTGAAAAGAGGAGACTCCCTTTTCTTCCCTTGTGTGTCTGATGAACAGGAATTGACCAACACATTTCACTTCCTTGAGTTGTGGTTTTAGTAGGGGTGAAAGAATGGAATTGGACAGCCCTTCAGATGGGGATGGCAAACAGGTTTCCTCTCCAGTGCCAATGCATTGGCTGGCAGCCACCGGGAGTGCTGGGATGCACCAGTCAGGTGTGGATGACTGCGCCCAGCTGGGTTCCAGTAAGAAGCAATGGGTTAGTTCCTGAAATTTATTTGTTCATTGCAAAGACCCTGAAATATTTCACCAAAATCCCATCTGAATAACTTTCTGCCATTGGGAGAGCTCTTTTGATGATCTCTAAGTGATACTTAAGATGAGATTCTGGATTCTGCCAAAAATCAATCCCCTGGAATATGTGTGATACCCACAGCCCCAGCACTGGAGTAGGCCCATTAATATAAGCATGACTTAGGCCGGTGCCGTGGCTCACTAGGCTAATCCTCCGCCTTGCGGCACCGGCACACCGGGTTCTAGTCCCGGTCGGGGCGCCGGATTCTGTCCCAGTTGCCCCTCTTCCAGGCCAGCTCTCTGCTGTGGCCAGGGAGTGCAGTGGAGGATGGCCCAAGTGCTTGGGCCCTGCACCCCATGGGAGACCAGGAGAAGCACCTGGTTCCTGCCATTGGAGCAGCGCGGTACGCCGGCCGCAGCGCACCAGCCGCGGGGGCCATTGGAGGGTGAACCAACGGCAAAGGGAGACCTTTCTCTCTATCTCTCTCACTGTCCACTCTGCCTGTCAAAAAAATAAATAAACAAAAAAACATATAAGCATGACTTAGACCCCCCAAGTTCCAGTCAGTCTAATTGGGATGGAGAGATACAAAAACAGAAAAGCACGGTGAACAGTGTGAAGTGGAACATGATGAAACCCATACTGGGTGGTTGGGATTCCAGGAGCTCAGATGGGAAATGCATGAAGAATGTTGGGAAAGACTGGAAAACACAGGTGCAGTCAATGCGAACCATGCGGATGACTTTTTAAGGACTTCCTACAAAGTAGTAGTAGTGGCAAGAAGAACTAGCAGCAACCTGAAAGAATACTTAGGCTTACCACAGTCAACTGTGGGGCCCCTGCCAGGGCTCTGCAGATCCTCTCACGACGAACTGTTGAGCCATCAGTCAGTCTGCTAATGTTGGCTGCTAGTTTTCCGATCAAACATGAGAGTACACTGTGCCAGCAGCCTCCGCCATAGGCAATGACAGTAGCAAAGTATGCAGCAATTCGATGTGAGTTCCAAAGCTGACACAGTAGGTTCAAGGCCAGCCTTCCCCCCCAGACACGTCGCATTGCACCTCTGACACTTAAAGCATGATGACAACAGTGATTACTTCATCAAACAGTTGGGAGAACTAGCTTAAAAATTATACCCAATAAAATGTTGCTGTTTTCCTTATAACTGTATCCATGTGTGTCACTTGTCAGTATTTACACTGGCATCCAGGCAGTGTTGGGGTTGGTGTGTTGGCACAAATTGGAGTTGTGTGAAACACTGACGAGGGCCCTGGCTCATGAAAGCCTCAGGGAGAGGCACTGCAGTAGGCCCTGGTCCTGCCTGGCTCTGGCTTGTGCTGTCTTGATGTCCTGATATTTTTCTGGAAATTCTCAGTCATTGAGAACTAGCGTTTCTCAACCTCATCACAGTGGGGTGGATCTTCCCTTGCTGTGGGGCTGTCATGTGCATTGTAAGATGTTTAGCATTTTGGCTTCTACCCACTCAATGCCCTTCCCCATGTGACAACCAAACATGTTTCCATATATTGTCAGATGTCCCCTGGGAGTGTGCGTGTGTGTGTGTGTGTGTGGGGGGGTGTGTGTGCAAAATTGCCACCTTAAATTGTCGCTCTTACAGTGTTAAAAGTATATATATTTGTGATTTTAAAAGTTCTTCTCCTTAAACGTACTTTAGAATGTTCAGTTTAAAAAGAAAAGATGACCTCATTAAAAAGTCTTGTGCAGAAAGCTCTTTCAACTGTGTGTTTCTGTGTAGGTCTGTGTGTAAACTGGCAGAGCTTAATTTGAAAACCACATTTGCTAAGTTAGGCATTCAGTAGTTCTCTGCGGCACCCTGAAGCAGCCAAGGCATTTCTCTTGGTAGAGTGGTAGAGAGAGACTCCATCACTGTTTTTTTTTTTTTTTTTTTTTTTTTGCTCAAGGGAAGTCACTTAGACTCCAACTTCTGAGATCATGACAAACAGGGCTGGGGGTCAGGCTCCAACTTTGACATAAAACAGAGCTCTAGCAACAGAAGTAAATTTTCTAATGTAAGAACTTTTTGACGATTCAGGGACATTTAGGCTTTTCTGGGATTAGCCAAATTCTGCCATGGGCGAATTTATTTATTTATTTATTTTAGTACAGAGAATGTAAAGGGCATATCTTCAAAAGACCAAGGCCTTTAAACTTAATACACCCCCACATCTCTGCCCCCCCACACAGTTAACCAGTAAAACTAGCATTAATCAGAGTGGCACGTGGTGAGCGCACTGGGTAATGTGTTGGAGATCTGTCCCTTGGCCCTGTACTGGCCAAGTCACCCTGCAACTTCAGCTCTCTGTTTCTCATCTGGAAAGTTGACATAGTGATGTCCATCCTGCTTCCTTACAGGCTTTTCATTTTTAGATCTGTTTTTCATTTACATGGATAGAATGAGATTGTCTAATGGAAGTGCTCTATAAACGTAAAAATATTATTCAAACATGAGAGAGGATAGACCTATGGGAAGTAGTATCAACAAACCCGTAATAAACGGGAGAAGGGAGGCACTAAGGAGACTTTTGTGAAAATAAAAGAATATGCTAATGATTCAGTTGTATGGGCTCACCTGTGTGGGAGGTTGAGCCGATCTGCTACGACATATCACCACCACCTAGTGGCCGCTATACAAATTGCAGGCATAGTGTCTTGAAGAAGGAAGCCACCTGCTTGTTAGATCAGGGAATTGAGGTGGGGATGGTGTGAAGAAAAAGCCCTCACAAACACACATAAATACACACACACAGAAAATTTATGCTTGCCCTTTGGATAAGGGGAAAGATATGGTCAGGATATTAACAGTAGCAATGATACACAAACAGGACAATGGGAAAACAAGGTGAAAATACAGAGGAGGAGTGAAAGAAAACAGGCTCATAGAGACTGAATCTGAACATGTTTTTAATAAACAGGTGGGTTGCCGGTGCCGCGGCTCACTAGGCTAATCCTCCGCCTTGTGGCACCGGCACACCGGGTTCTAGTCCCGGTCGGGGTGCCGGATTCTGTCCTGGTTACCCCTCTTCCAGGCCAGCTCTCTGCTGTGGCCAGGGAGTGCAGTGGAGGATGGCCCAAGGGCTTGGGCCCTGCACCCCATGGGACTTGGCTCCTGCCATCGGATCAGCGCAGTGCGCCGGCCGTGGCGGCCATTGGAGGGTGAACCAACGGCAAAGGAAGACCTTTCTCTCTGTCTCTCTCTCACACTGTCCACTCTGCCTGTCAAAAAAA